TCAACCACTGCTAAATACCCCATAGACCGTGTATGTCTGAAGAATTTCTCTATACCGACGGGGTCTCGCGTGTCAAATCAAGAAAATCTTTTTCTCGGAACATTACCGAAATCTGTCATTTTAGCAATGACAGAAAATACATCCTTTTCAGGGGCGTATGATAAAAACCCATTTGCTTTTAAACATTTTAACCTGGAATTTTTGGCTTTATACCGAGACGGTATCCAAATTCCATCCAAACCGTTTCAGCCGGAATATGAGAATGGTTCTGCTGTGAGGGACTTTTATCAACTCGTATTATCTACCGGAAGACATCTTAAAAATCAGCCTCTGGCAATAGATCGACAGGATTTTCTAAACGGATACACCCTCTATGCCTTTAATTTAACACCTGATGAAGATTGTTCGAATCATGTTTCACTAATTAGATCGGGAAATATTAGACTAGAAGCCCGATTCAGACAACCTCTCAGACAATCCATAACTATTATCGTATATGCGATTTTTGATTCAATCGTTGAGATATCCAATCGAAGACAGGTGTTAGTCGATTATTACTGAGACATCGCGAAATGAATACGGTCCAACTAACAGCTTTTATGGATAAAATTGCGCACAATACGTGTTTTTTAGGAGTGCTACCATGCGATTATCTCCCAAAAACACAGATAAAGATTTTACCGACTATGCTTATTTTTAATACCGACCCATCCACAAAACCGGGGCAACATTGGGTCGCTATCTACATAAACAAATCTAGAGTTAGCTGTTTTTTGGATAGCTTTGGCGGATGTCCGAAAGATCCACGTTTTCCGAAGACCAAATCTTCAAAACATATCTAAAGTATGTAATACGTTAAAACCGGGATATTACGAGGATGTATTGTTTCTGGTTAGAGAAATAAATGCTAATCTTCCACCGAGAGTGACACTTGGTTATGATCATATAAAAAATCGGATATTTCTAAAAGCACCGGCAAACACATCTTTGGTGTTTTACGGGAAGTTGGCTATTATTTTAGGATTAAAACCGAGTGTGTGATACCTTTAGCTTTAAGAGTGACTTTATTTTTCGCTGTTCTAAAGCTGTGCGATTTCGGTCCGGTCGATGCGAATTCAGTGACGTAGTCGTCTGCATCAAGCTTGTCCGTCAGCTCACCAAGATATGCACCTGTTTTAGGCGTCCAATCTCCATCTTTCGATATGAAGATGGCGCTGTCTGTATCTACGTAAAAAACAAATAAAAATGTATTTATAGATCTACGTGCGGGATTGAGTGTGATTTTATCGATGTCGAGCTGAACACCCTCCTTCTCAAAATACCCTTTGACGTAAGACTGCTTGTCTGCGTCTGTCACTATGTCTGGCGGAAAACCTGAAGCCTTCTGTTTGAATTTGAGAAACGTCTTAACATACTCACTGAATAACGTGTCTGATGTCTGCGGAAAATGCCAGACTTCCTCAGTTCTGACGACTGAATAACCTTTAACAATAGCACAGGAGAGTTCAACAGACGTCCAAACTCCTGAAATGGCTCTTTCTTCATTACCATGCTGACACTGATCCTGATATTGTACCTCAGCACAGGTGCGACACAGAGCAAACAATAGTTTACCCTCTGGAGATTTGAAAGGAAGAACCGGATGGAGTAGTTTACGTGGGGGGAGTACGGTACATTTAATAAGTCCAAAATATGTTTAGACCGGTTCAAAGTCTTTTAAAATTATTTCAGGATGACCGATAGGGTAAGTTTTACGCGACAGCACGTAAGGATAGAGCAATGTAAAGTCCAAATAGGAAACGCGTTCATCCTCGCTGGTCTTGTGGTACAATTTAAGTGCATTTGTCCTCCCTCTGAAAAGCGATTCCCTAGGATTAAGCCTCGCTGGCGCCTTATAATTACTCATAAAAGCTTTGACATCAGGATCGTTTTGTTTGGCTTTCTCCCACTGACACTCCCAAATCTCATGTACTCTGAGATTGTAGGCATTACGCAAAACATGCAGCTTATTGTCAGCTTGTCTTCTGAGCACACTGATCGGTTTTTTTGATACCGGATTCAATTCGTTAGGATTAAAACGACAACAGTGTCCGTGCCAGAAGCAACCTAAAAATTCCAAGGCTATTTTATCACCGTCATCAACTTCATAATAGCCATCCACATGATACGGTCCAAAACTGGCTTCGCCGTGGTTTAACGCGTGATGAACGTCAACGTTTCTGCTTACTTTAATGTATTCCAGCCATTGGATGGAAGGGTTTGAGTAAGCTTTGTACTGATTGATATAAGCATTTTTGTGTGTTAGGGCTATCGTGTCCTTGGTTAAAAAAGTGTTTTGAACACTTTCATAGCACACCCGGCAAGCGTTATACAGCCGAACGGGTCCACGTTTGTACACTCGATAAACTCATTTCTGTATTTCATGCAACCCTCTCGTAACAAAACGACATCGTTCTTGCAGTACATCCCGAGTTGTTTTTTGAAGTCAAACACCTGCCCCGCTACGCTCTCGTACCACGAGTCAAATTTCACGCGTTCAGTGTCAGACATTGTCTGGTATCCATAATATTCTTTACACAGATAGGGTCAGACATAATTCGTATTCTGCGAACGATTAAAATGATGGGGAAAGAATCCTTTTTCGCCGGTGTTTAAGTTTAAAGCAGATGTCATTTTTGACAATTTCATAGGCAAGAAGCTATAGCTGTCAATGTATCTCTGTTTAAAGGCCTGATCGTACATATAAACAAGTCTACATCCTTGGAGTATAATTTTTGGTGTTAGGCCCTGACTTGTGAAATACTCGAGCAATATAAAAGAATCGAAACCCGAAGAATTGTGTGCGATAAATGTAAAATCAGCAAATTTTGGACGTCTGAAATGTTTGACCATAAGGTCCACGCAGTCGATACCTTCGGCGGTGAATTCTTCACCAGATTGCGAAACTGCACATATGTAATTAGCGGTATGCTTACCATTTTCGTACATTGTTTCAAAGTCAAAATAAATGTAGGCTTGGCTATGTTCGCCAGGTTTGACAGGTTGAATATAGCAACTGTGTTTTTCGCCGGTGTTTAAGTTTAAAGCAGATGTCATTTTTGACAATTTCATAGGCAAGAAGCTATAGCTATCGATGTATCTCTGTTTAAAGGCCTGATTGTACATATAAACAAGTCTACATCCTTGGAGTGTAATTTTTGGTGTTAGGCCCTGACTTGTGAAATACTCGAGCAATATAAAAGAATTGAAGCCCGAAGAATTGTGTGCGATAAATGTAAAATCAGCAAATTTTGGACGTCTGAAATGTTTGACCATTCGTCCACACAGTCAACACCTTCGGCTGTGAATTCTTCACCAGTTTGTGAAACGGCACATATGTAATTAGCTGTGTGTTTTCCATTTTCGTACATTGTTTCAAAGTCAAAATAAATGTAGGCTTGGCTATGTTCGGCAGGTTTGACAGGTTGAATATAGCAACTGTGATGCCCTTCATCTATCAGAATTGATTAAAAAATGAGCGATGCATATGCTAAAACACATATTGTCTGCTATATTTTTAGGGATGAATAGATTCATTTTATTTTTTCTTACGATTTCATTGTATACCAGGTCGGCTAACTTCCTACGCACGCCACCTTGTTTGTTTCGTGCTACCGATACGCATAACTCTAAAGCAGAATCTAAACCCACATCTGTATTGCTTTGAACTGCACGTTCGATTTGATCAACAAATATACCAACATCATGATTATTATCAGGTGTTAGAACTGCATTAATATCTATCTGGAGACTTGCACCTTGCAGAGATACGTTCAGAAATCCATCTTCACCCGCCATCAATCTGGAAAACGCTACAATCTCATTCAAAATATCTTGCAAAAAGATATTATAGGCAGCATAATCATCAGAGGCTATTTCACGAAAATTTAAAGTTCTGTGAATTTCTAAACCGTTAAATCTCGGTCTTGGGACAATTGTAAAATCACCCACACGACCACCTTCTCTTACTAGGCTAGCTATACAATTCTGGCTGAGACCCATGTCTGGAGCTGCGGGATCATAACCTGACGGGTCGTCATTAGAAGGACCTGCACCGAACTGTTCATTGTTGTTTATAGATGCTCCCAACCATTCATGTTGTTCGCAAATCAGAAATACAAAAATTTTAAATCTTAAAGACAAGCGTGTGCACCCTGAAAACACCACCAACGTTTGCAATGTGAAACAACCAGATATAGCAAAAATGAACATGTACAATTTGAAACCACCGTTTTCTTCCACAAGTAAAATAGTATCAGAAACTATCCTCAATAATAAGAATAAAACAACAATATATCGATGTCAATAACATGTATGGTATAAATCAATGACAATAACATACAATAATGTAAGGAATAAATCAATGTCAATAAACAATAATAAATGTGAGAAATAACCAATGATAATAACAAATCAATGTCAATAACACAAAAACAATCAACAATTCAATACATAGAATATTACGGACTACCTCTCGTGATACGATTGTACAAATCTGTTAACATTCTCTGAATAAGGTTTAAACGTTCGCCCATAAGAGATTATGCGTTTACCGTAAGCCTCTGCTCGACGTGCTGCTGGTGTATCTCGGCCGGTACACCGCTCATGCTCTGCTGGAACTGGCGGAATTCATTATACAGCTGCTCGTGACAACTTCTCCAAAATTCAGCTGCGTGACGTAAGGCCTCGTTGTGTTGTTGTTGACACGCTATGATATTTCTTAAAATCGACAACACATCACTTTGTGCGCTAGCAACAATGTCTTCCGCTTCCCGGTAAGATAGCGAATGTCCGGTCAAGTCGAAAAGTCTCTCAAAGTACCGATTAACACGGCTCAGCATATCATAATCAATCCTTCTATTTAAATCACGATCACGGAACAGTTCCTGAGGTATATCATGCGATAATTCAGCCTCTTCCTCACTCTCCGAGTCGGTGAAGGATGTGAAGGATAACGCGTGGATCATCGAATCAGACCACGCTGTTAGATCACCCTCACCGTAGCCTTGTTCTGCTTGTTCTGTAATAAACGTTTATTAATTTATCGAATAAAAATCAAACATAAAACGTAATAATGAGATTTCTGTTTTACATACCATTATTGTCTGAAGTCCTTAAACGTGTGGTGGTCGGCGAGTCATCCGCATCCTGCTCCGGTAACCTCAACCGTTTTATACCCTGACCGCCTGGATGCGGGGGTCTCAATCGTTGCGTTGGGGGACTGGATGTACCTGGGGTGTGTACACTCGCGCAGGCGGTGAGCGTGTGAGACCCATCCTCTGAAGACGTAACGTGGTCGGGGGTGGGTTGTGTGACGTTGTTTAGCTCGTGACGTGATTCCGTCTTAACTACAACCTCTTGCAACGCCTCCTCTGTAGGTAATATTACCACGTGGCTGTCAGAAGCATCGTGCTCACCTGTAAAAAATTTTTGTAAACACTTTGAGAAACTGAAACTTTTAATATGTTGAGAAAAACGAATGTCTGTATATGTACCGTTATTAACTTCGCAGTCATCATCACAGGCATCTAGTTGCGCCTCGTCAACTGGGTAAAGTCAAGTCACCTTTATTTATATAGCGCTTTTAATAATACAGATTGTGTCAAAGCAACTGAACAGCATTAATTAGGAAAATAGTGTGTCAATAA